TCATTACTAACCTTAAAATATTTGTAGTCTTAATGTAGGGCAAGAGGTGAGTAGTATTTATTTGTAGGAAGTCAGTGTATGTAGCAGTAGATGTAGGCACAGTACACGTATGTAGCCCCCCCCCCTGGGCTACACTACACAGCTATATTGCAATACACAGCCATATTATTACACTACACAGCCATATTATTACCATGTTCACTGAGTTTAACCCTTTGACTGTTTCCGACGTATAAATACGTCTTACGAGCCAATGTTTCTGACGTATTTATACGCATAAATTCTAGCAGCTTCAAATCAAGCAGGAGAAAGCTGGTAGGCCCACATGTGAGAGAATGGGTCTCCATGGTCAGTGTGCACCATATAAAAAAAATCGGGGAGCCAGTGGTGCATTGTGGGAATGCCATTTCAGTTGTCATTTTTCAGCATGTCTAGCGGTAAGAAATATGTGATTCCCCAGCAAATCTGGGACAGTGAAGATCAATTTCAGTGAAGATCAATTTCATGATTTGGAGGAGTTTGAGACCAAAAGCAATGGAGGAGGAGGAGGGGGAGGAGGGGAGGAAGAGGAGGAGGAGGAGGAGGAGGAGGGAAGGAAGAGGAGGAGGAGGAGGAGGAGGAGGAGGAGAAGAGGAGGAGGAGGAGGAGGAGGAAGAAGAAGATGTAATAATATTGTTCCCTTGAAGCAAGAAAAAAAAAAGTCCACCCCATGACAGTGACAAGATAAGGGGAGATAACATCTGATAAGAGCTGACTTTGATGAGCGTAAAGGAGGGTAATATTACATGACCATCGCCCTCCCTTTGTTTTTGCTGGTACACAAACATTTCTGTCTGTCTATTTGTCTGTCTGTCAAGCTCCCTGTCTGTCCATCTAGCTCTCTGTCTCAGAGAGAGCCACAAGACTGTGTCATCACGTTTAATCACATCTTCAAGCAGAGTATAGCACTTTGTCTGGATTTCTTGGGTTATCCTAGGTAATTTACACTATGTATACTTGTATTTATGTGTACCTGTGAGACAGAGATAGGCAGACAGATAGAAAGAGAGACAGATTGAAAGATATAGAATGAGGGAGAAAGATAATTAGATAGAATGGAGGAGGGGAAGCAGCATCTGACCCCATTGTTTTGACAGGCTGTAGGGGTAGTGACTAATGAGACAATATGTCACTTTGACAGCTGCCGACTTCTGACTCAAAACAATTATAAGCCACACACTCGCACACAAGACAAGGAGGAGGAGAAGGAGGAGGAGGAGGAGAAGAGGAGGAGGAGGAGGAGGAGAAGAGGAGGAGGAGGAGGAGAAGAGGAGGAGAAGGAGGAGAAAGAGGAGGAGGAGAAGAGGAGGAGGAGGAGGAGAAGAGGAGGAGGAGGAGGAGGAGGAGGAGAGGAGGAGGAGGAGGAGGAGAAGAGGAGGAGGAGGAGAAGAGGAGGAGGAGGAGAAGAGGAGGAGGAGGAGGAGAAGAGGAGGAGGAGAAGAGGAGGAGGAGGAGAAGAGGAGGAGGAGGAGGAGAAGAGGAGGAGGAGGAGAAGAGGAGGAGGAGGAGAAGAGGAGGGAGGAGGAGGAGGAGGGAGGAGGAGGAGGAGAGAGGGAGGAGGAGGAGAAGAGGGGAGGAGGAGGAGAGAGAGGAGAGGAGGAGAAGGAGGAGAGGAGGAGGAGGAGAGAGAGAGGAGGAGGAGGAGGAGGAGAGAGGAGGAGGAGAGGAGAGAGGAGGAGGAGAGAGGAGGAGGAGGAGGAGAAGAGGAGGAGGAGAAGAGGAGGAGGAGGAGAAGAGGAGGAGGAGGAGAATAGGAGGAGGAGAGAAGAGGAGGAGGAGGAGAAGAGGAGGAAGAGGAGGAGGAGGAGGAGGAAGAGGAGGAGGAGGAGAAGAGGGGAGGAGGAGAAGAGGAGGAGGAGAGGAAGAGGAGGAGGAAGAGGAGGAGAGAAGAGGAGGAGGAAGAGGAGGAGGAGGAGGAGAGGAGGAGGAGAAGGAGAGAGGAGGAGGAGGAGGAGGAGGAAGGAGAAGGAGAAGGAGAAGGAGAAGGAAGGAGAAGAAGGAGAAGAAGGAGAGAAGATGATGATGATGATGATGATGATGATGATGATGATGATGATGATGATGATGATGATGATGATGATGATGATGGATGATGATGATGATGATGATGATGATGATGATGATGATGATGATGATGATGATGATGATGATGATTGTTTGTTTGTTTGTTTGTTTTTGTAAACAAGTTTTGTAAACAATATATTGATAATTATGTTTGTGTGCTTATTGTGTTGTATACAACGAGTGTATATATATACATTGCACCTTACTTTGCTTATTGTGTTGTATACAACGAGTGTATATATATACATTGCACCTTACTTTGGTCTCATAGGCCACATAAGTTATGTGAAAAAATAAAATAGTGAAAAAAACAAAAAACCTTCAATTACAAGTAAACTAAAGTTTACCGGGTGAGCGGCAGTCGCCGCTGTTGCCATACACGGCTCATTTTCTGCAAACTTCACGGCTCTATATCTCAGTAAGTACCGATGGCAAAAAATTTATTTTTGGACTAAAACACTCAGAAAAATAATCTTAACATTTTCATAAGAAAAAATAATTTTTTTTTTTTTGAATATTTGGCGACATAGAATAATACCTTTAGATGCCATCATAAATAAAGGGAGAAGTAATGAATAATTCATGCCAAGAATTGTAAACAAACGCATATGAAGGGCGGTTACATACACCATTCGCCAGATTCACAGTTTTCTCTAACGCTGCATCAGAGAAAACGAAATGTTTACTCTCCATCCCACTTTCCACTCGATAACATATAATCATTGCATGTTTATATGCTATGTTTATATGTTACATGATATGTAACGTGTTTCTTATACAGTGGACCCCCGGTTAACGATATTTTTTCATTCCAGAAGTACATACAGGTGCCAGTACTGACCGAATTTGTTCCCATAAGGAATATTGTGAAGTAGATTAGTCCATTTCAGACCCCCAAACATACACGTACAAACGCACTTACATAAATACACTTACATAATTGGTTGCATTGGGAGGTGATCGTTAAGCGGGGGTCCACTGTATATAATTTTGAAGACAATATCATATATGGATTAATGAGAATGTCTATATTAACGTAAAATAAGACATTTAATGTGGCAAAGAGTGATTATTAAATATACATCACATATAATAAACATTGCATGCTTATATGCTATGTAACATGTTTCTTACATAATTTTGAAGATATAATGAAAATGTCTATTTTAATGTAAAATAAGACATTTAATGTACCAGTGATTATTATTAACCCTTTGAGGGTTTCGGCTGTACTAGTACAGCTTACGACCCAGGGTTTTTGACGTATTAGTACGCCTAAATTCTAGCACCCTCAAATCTAGTGGGAGAAAGCTGGTAGGCCTACATATGAAAGAATGGGTCTATGTGGTCAGTGTGCACATTATAAAAAAAATCCTGCAGTACACAGTGCATAATGAGAAAAAAAAAACTTTGACCGTGTTTTTGGAATAAAACAGCGACTTTGCACTGTATTTTCGTATGGTATTTATTGTTGTATTCTAGTTTTCTTGGTCTCATTTTATAGAATGGAAGACATATTACAGAAATTGAGATGATTTTGACTGGTTTTACAATGAAAAGTACCTTGAAATTGAGCTCAAAGTAGCAGAAATGTTCGATTTTTACCAAAGTTCAAAAGTAAACAAAATCATGCCAAGCGTCCAATACACGTCAACTGGTGAGTGTAATATTCATTTGCAAGTGCGCCAATATTATTTATACCATTTTTTACACTAATGCAGTAGTCTGCATAACAGTAAATCTTCTATTTTTTGTGAGAATAAAAATTCAAAGTGGAAAGCAAAAGAATGTAAGAGGGGCCTTGAGACACGACTAATGAACAGAGGAAATGTCATTTTAGTGCCAGGAATGTCTTTCTTGTTTATTCTGGACCCTATTCGGAAATTGGCATCTTTTGAAATTTGTGTGAAATTGGCAAAATTGCTAAATTCTGACCACTGTACTGGATAGTTGAAATTGGTAAATGGGTGGTTTCTTGCACTCATTCGATAGAAAAAATGGAGTTCTCGCGAAATATTCATGTTTTTTGTCGACTAGTACAGTGGAATTGGCCGAAAATGGGGCTCAAAGTGGGCAAAATTGCCGATGCGTAAACATCGCCGAGACCGCTAACTTCGCGAGAGCATAATTCCATAAGTTTTCCATCAAATTTCATAATTTTGGTGTCATTATGATCGGGAAAAGATTCTCTATCTTTTCCTTAGATTTTTTTTTTTTTTTTTAAATTTGGCCGACCCTGAGAACGAGTCTCGGAGAGGGCCTGTCGACCCTCAAAGGGTTAAATATACATCACATATAAACATTGCATGTTTTCATATACTATGTAACGTGTTTCTTTGGGCCCATGGTTGCTTATTTTGCAGTTGTACTCTATCAATAACCACAAAAAACAATGGATTATAGCAAAATGTTTGGATGAATGAGCAGTAGCTTCCTCACTCACCCATAGACAAAGCCAAACTGACTCGCAAGCGGCCCCAGCCAGTAGATGGATGCCTCCGAAATGGCCGATAACCAAATTAATGGCTAATAACCGGGCGCCGAAAAACCAGCCAATAACCGAGTTGGCCAATAACTGAACCGACCGATAACCGGGGGTCCACTGTATATACTTCTAAACTGTTGTATTCTGGGCACCTCTGCCAAAATATGGTTATGTGCGAGTGAGGTGAAAGTGTTGAATGATGATGAAAGTATTTTCTTTTTGGGGATTTTCTTTCTTTTTGGGTCACCCTGCCTCGGTGGGAGACCGCCGACTTGTTAAAAAAAAAAAAAGTGTAGAAATGTTGAGATATAGTAAAACTGCATAATTCAGGGACTTAACTAAAGCTGCAATACTTATATCAATACTGCAGCTACATGAAAGCAACAAAATTAAGGAAAGTAAAACAAGTTAGTGTATTTTAGGTGTTCATATTTTTTATCAAAGTTCTCCTTCACTTTACAGATAAAGTACTCAATAGTATTATGAATAGAAAGAGAGTGGTTCCCTCTTTCTCAAAGTTATCATTATCATTAATGATATCTCAAGCACATAAGTATTATCAGTGATCAAGTCATAAGGATGATGAGATTGTGATATGAAAAATATTAAAACTGTGACATGGGGATCCTTAGGGAACACTGATGCTCAAGCTCTTGCAACCAGAGGACTGCACATTGGCCCAGGTTTTGCAAGGTGAATGCACCCTAGTCGCAGGATCTCCCTGCCACCTCCTTAGGACAGCTTGTGATGTCATTTTTAAGCTGAACTGGCCGTCCAACACACATGACGGATGGACACTACGCTATGGCGGCTGGGATGCCATAGAACGTACTTGTCTGCCCGCCAGCAGTGTGGTCAGCTGAGTTGGGGCGAGCTGGCACTAACACACACCCTCACAACAGAATGCATACAACACAAGTAACTACATACACAAGAATGCACACAGCAAGAGTACATAATATTAGAGGATACAGAGAGACAAAGCATCCATAGATGGAGATATGCTAAAACAGAATCTGATATTTACGAGAAAGGTCAGTTAATATTGATAGTAAAATAAATGAAAAATACTAGATGCAAATTATGATGATGGTATTATTATTACAAAAAAAAAAAGAAAAAAAGACACTCATTTCTCGTCAAATATTGGATGATGAAGGGGCTCTGGACAGGGAAGCAGTGATGGCATTGCCTTGTACGTGAAAGACGAGTGACTCAAGAAAGGTTTCCCATTTTGTCCTATTTATGTTCCTAGAGCAACATGGCTGGTCGGTGACATTGAAAGTGCTGGAAATGACTAAATGAGTGCCAAGATGATGCAGGCATGTTTCACCCCTCACATATATATTGTCCCCTTACAACACAGGATAATTTATCTGGATAGTTTGTATACTTGGCAGAAAATGGGACTGGCAGTTTATTTCATGTAAGTCTTCTGGGAGAGCTCAAAGTTCCTGATAGATTTTCGGACATCATCGAGGAGTGAGGCGGTGCGGGTGTCAGGCACAGTGCGGCGGATCACATTGCTACGGATACCACGCTCTGCGAAGGCCATACGGCGAGGGTAATCTGTAAGAGAATTCAATAGTTACTGACCACTCATTAGCAGATATATGACTTGCCTCTCTGGCAGATCCCTGGGAATACAGGATTCCACCTCTCCAATACTGACACTTCCCTGGGAATACAAGATCCCACCTCTCCAATACTGACAGTTCCCTGGAAATACAGGATCCGACCTCTCCAATACTGACAGCTCCCTGGGAATACAGGATCCCACCTCTCCAGAACTGGCAGCTCCCTGGGAATACAGGATCCCACCTCTCCAATACTGGCAGCATCCTAGGAATACAGGATCCCACCTCTCCAATACTAACAGCTCCCTGGGAATAAAGGATCCCACCTCTCCATGACTGGCAGCTCCCTGGGAATATAGGATCCCACCTTTCCAATACTAACAGCTCCCTAGCGATCCAAAATTCCCACCTCACCAGTACTGGCAGCTCCTGTGGGATGCTACTGAGGTAGAGAGGTTTGAGCAGCCGAGTGCTTGAGTGAGAATCCTGCTAACCCATTTTACAACATGAACATTGAGTATATTTAAAATTTAATAACAAATTTATGTAATTTATAGCCATTGAATTGTTTTGATTATATTAAGACTAGCATACATGTAATATGACAACAGCAGCAAATTGCTATTGATTTCAGCCAAGCATTCTGATAGCCAGAAATTTGAAAAAATGGCAGATAATGTACATGATTACAACTTCTTTTGTTAAAAACACTGAATACAAAAGCAGCTCTGGATTTTTGTAAATCCTACAACTTTACTCCACCTGCATAGTGTGAAGAAATGTAAAAAGTCAAACATTATGTTGGTGACATAACAATACACTACATAATATGTATTACAAATTATTTCCCAAAGTAAACATATGCATATGAAATTCAATTCAAGTTTATTCTCTATAAGGGTTACAATGTGGGGGTTTATTTTATAACATGTGGTCTACATGTTATAAAATACTAATTACAGAGGGGGCCACTAGGACACCTAGCATGGCTAAGCATTTCGAGCAGACTTAGATTAATTCCTAACATTAAATCCTTACAGATTATGGTATTAAGGCTAAGTGACTACATCATAATTTGTGAGTTTAGCAATGTGAATGCTTTTGTTTTGGCACAATACAAAGTGTCTATATTGGAGTATCATAGGCAAACTTATGACTAGTTAGGATTTATTATTTTAAGATTAAGATTAGTATTTCTGGGTTTATAGTCAGTGGGTGAGTGAGTGTAATTGTGAACCACCAGGTGGTTATCATGTAGTTAGTTGTTGGGGTGGATCAGGGAGATAAGATGTTTTCTAACTGTAGTTTTGAAAGTGATGAATGTGTCTGCAGTTCTAGAGTTTTCAGGTAGGGTGTTTCAGATTTTAGGTCCTTTGAAATACATTGAATTTTTGTAAAGGTTTAGTCGAACACAGGGAATGTCATAGAGATGTTTGTGTCTGGTGTTATGCCTGTGGATCCTGTCACAACTATCAAGAAAGCATTTTAGGTCAAGGTTAATATTGGAATTTAAGGTCCTGTAGATATAGATTGCACAGGGAGTAAGTTTAGATCTATGAAGAGTGGGGGGGTGTGTTGCCGGGGATGGGATTTAGTGATTATTCTTACTGCGGCTTTTTGTTGGGTTATTATTGGCTTTAGGTGTGTTGCTGCAGTTGAACCCCAAGCACAGATAGCATAGGTGAGGGAGACATCAATTGATTACTAGAATTTGCCATTGATATTCTGAAACAATATCACATTGCTATTGTTAGGCACTAGCCTATTAGCATGTTTAAAATCAGTAGATAAGGTTGTGGGTGCCCATGGATATTTTAGCATATATAATGAAATGAACCTGTCCACACTGTTGAGTTGCACCATTACTGAATTTCCAACAATTCAAATATTATGTACAGATACAGGCATTAAGACTGTCCTTTCATATCAAATGAATTTTATGTACTACTGTACAAATAATGTTTTATTTGCTGGATATTATATAACTAACATATAAACAAGAGGACAAGTTACTTTGAAAGAGATAAGGGAGGAGCATGGTAATCTCACCACCAGATTTGGTATCCATATACTTGACGAGCGAGCTGTAATAGTTGTCCCCGTAGTCCCAGTTGTAGTCGTAGAAACGGGGCTTGCGCCTGTTCCAGTGTACGAAGAACTTGGGCTTCTTTTTAGGCGCTGGAGGTGGTTCAAGAGCTTCTTCCCCTTCAGCGGGAGCCTCACCCTCGGCAGGGGCAGGTGCCTCCTCGACCGGGGCGGGTTCTGTGGTTGGGCAGCAAGATGTTACATGATGCACTTTGCTATCACCACAACCCTAGAGCCCCCATATACACACAAAGCTGATATACCTATCAACTGAGTTGCTTCACTTGCCTCTACAGTAAAACCTAAACTGTCTGCAGACATGTCATGACATGAACCATGGGTGACATGTCGTGATGTGTTTCCTGACTGTGTGTGTGTGTGTGTGTGTGTGTGTGTGTGTGTATAGTGGAACCTCAGCTGTCAACTGCCTTACTTGTCGAACAATTCAGTTTTCAAATGAGACATTCGAGAAAAATATGCCCTGGTTTTCATACGTGCTCTGGTTGTTGACGGACAATGCTCCCAGGTTTGAAAAATTTTTTTAAATTATTTTTGCTTATGAAATGATAGTGAATCTTTTTCCAAAGATAATGAAACCAAAAGTACAAAATTTGAAAGAAAGCTCATGGAATTATGCTATCACGAAGTTAGCGGTCTCAGTGATATTTACGCATTGGTGATTTTGCCCATTTTGAGCCCTATTTTGGCCCAATTCCACTGTTCGAGTCGACCAAACTCATAGCTATTTCACTAGAACTCTTTTTATTCTATCGATATAGTACAAGAAACTGCTATTTATCTATTTCAACTACCCAATAAAGTGATCTAAAATTACTAATTTGGCTAATTTCACACAAAATTCAAGAAAGACCAATTTCAAAATAGGGTCCAGAATAAACAATGCAGACATTCCTGGCACTAAAATAACATTTTATCTGTTCATCAGTCATGTCTCCAGGCCTCTCTTATATAATGCTTGCTTTTCATTTTGAATTTTTATTCATACAAAAATTAGAAGATTTACTGTTATTCAGACTACTGCATAATTGTAATAATTGTATAATATCAGTGCATTTGTGAATGCATATTACATCCACCAGTTGCCAAGTATTGGACATGTGATGTGATTTGTTTACTCTTGAACATCGGCAAAAATTGAACAGTTCTGCTACTTAGAGCTAAATTTCAAACTACTTTTAGTCTGTAAACCATTCAAAATCATCTCTATTTCTGTAATATATCATTCATTCTATCAAATGAGACCAAGAAAACGAGAATGCAACCATAAATACCATACAAAAATACACTGCAAATTTGCTGTTTTAATCCAAAAACATGGTTGTAGTTTTTTGTTTCTCATTATGAACTGTGTTCTGCAGGATTTTTTTTTATACTGTGCACACTGACCATGCAGATCCATTCTCTCACATGTAGGCCTATCAGCTTCTGCAAGATTTGAAGCTGCTAGAATTTTTCCATTAGCTCTCCTCTGACAGGTAAGAGGCAGTTCAATTTTCATTTAGTATTCATTTTTACAGATTCCTTGTGATATATAATTTTATACACTGTTTTATGTAGTAGTTAGTACATTATTATTAATAAATTATTATATTGTCGTATGGGGTCTGGAACGGATTAATTCTGTTGACATTATTCCTTATGGGAAAAATTGCTGTGATTGTCGAATCAACACCTGAAACAAATTAAATTCAACAACCAAGATTTCACTGTATACATATATATATAATATATACATACATATTCTTCTTTTTAGTAGTCTATATGGATAAAGGGGTTACTAGCCCATTGCTCCTGGCATTTTAGTTGACTCTTACAACATGCATGGCTTACAGAGGAGAGGTTCTTGTTAAACTCCCCCATGGATATGAAAGGAAAAAGTAATAAGAACAAGAACTATTAACATAAAATCAAAGAAAAACTCAGATGAGTGTGTATACATAAATGTGTACATGCATGTGTAGTGTGACTTAAGTGTAAGTAGAAGTAGCAAGAAGTACGTGAAATCTTGCATGTTTACGAGACAGAAAAAAAGACACAAGCAATCCTACCATCATGTAAAACAAATACAGGCTTCCATTTTACACTCAAATGGCAGTAGTACCTCTCTGGGCAGTTGCTGTCTACCAACCTACTAAAAGTGAGTGGTGCATTGAGGTATCTGTGGAGACAAAGAACGTTATCCATGGAGGCAAAAAAGGGAATGTACGAGAGTATAGTGGTGCCAACACTTTTATGTGAGTGTGAAGCATGAGGAGGTAGCTGGAGGCAGTGGAGATGTTATGTCTAAGGGCAATGTGTGGTGTAAATATAATGCAGAGAATTTGTAGTGTGGAATTAAGGTGTGGAGTTACTAAAAGTATTAGTCAGAGGGCTGAAGAGGGGCTGTTGAGGTGGTTTGGTCATCTAGAGAGAATGGAACAAAGTAGAATGACTCAGAGAGCGTATAAATCTGGGGTTGGAGGGAAGGGGGTAAAGGAGGTTTTGTGGGCAAGGGACTTGGACTTCCTGCAAGCATGCATGAGCATGTTAGATAGGAGTGAATGGAGACAAATGGTTTTTGTGGCCTGACAAGCTGTTGGAGTGTGAGCAGGGTAATATTTTGTTTAAAGATTCAGGGAAACTGGTTAGCTGGACTTGAGTCCTGGAAATGGGAAGTACAGTGCCTGCACTTTAAAGGAGGGGTTTAGGATATTGGCAGTTGGGAGGGATATCTAAACTGTTGTATTTGAGCACCTCTGCAAAGACAGATTATGTATGAGTGATGATGAAAGTTTGTTTTCTTTTTGGGTTTTCCTCTTTTTAGGTCACCCTGCCTTGGTGGGAGATGGCTGGCGTGTTAAAAATAAATAAATAATATATATTATATACTTTCGAACACCGAGGTTCCACTGTATTTGTATACAAGAGCTTTGCCCAAACTCCTGCAACCACAAATAGGTGAGCGCACGAGCGCGTGCACGCGTGCACACACACACACACACACAAATTGAAAAAGGCAGTCTCGTAGGGTGAATTATGTTTTCTTCAAATGTGGGGAAATAATGATAATAGCCAGAAATCATCTTGTTAATGTTAAATGTTTTTGTTGTTTAAAATTATTAAACCAAATTAAAATGAAATAAACTAATAAGTACAGTATACATGTATTAAGTTTTGTTAAAATATTATTTTAAAAACAATAACTAACTTTTCATTAAAAACTGTGAAAGAAACCATGCATATAATGTTCTACAACAAAATTTTTTTATTTTAACAGTGATTAATATTACTTAAATAGGAAATGCAAACGAATTTACATAGCAAGGTAAGAGGGTAATCTACTCTAAACATGCCATTTTTTTGTAACAGTGTTTCAGTTGAATTCACTAATGTGTTAAGGTTACATTAACTCTTCAGTAAAAGTGTAGGTCAACTAGTGTCTACTATGTTTGTGTGCCTTGAGACAATTATAATGCAATAACTGAACGTTCTGTTGTTTGAATACTAACATACATGTCCTAGCATAGACACCACTTACACATCAACACAATAATGATAACTTCTCTTCACTATGTTTGACTACTAACACATATTCTAGCAGACATACACACCAATGCAATAAGGGAGTGCAGTATACAAATACGAGAGAAGTTAAACCAATAATGAAACAGCATAATGTAAGGTGGAAACAAGATTGAAGGTTCGGAAAGAGGTAAAAATCGGGGAAAGTTAAGATGGTTGTAAAGTATTTAGAAGGAAAGGTTTTTAACTCAAGGATTTGAGTCAGGTTTGAGAGACATTTTGATCGTGAGACTGGGACTTGAGGTTTAAGACAAAGCTATAACGTGAATCTAAACACACAAGACAGCCGCTGCTACGTCCTCCTGGTACACTGCAGTGGGTATGACAAACATTGATTAATGTTAATTAGTTAAGTGTGGTGAGGCATTAGCTAGCAGCATCCTGGGGTGTGGAGAACCATTGGTCAGGTAGTACATCAGCTGCTCTCTCCGCCTGTTCTTCATGCTCGCTTACTCCACCTGCTCTTGCTATTCACCATATACTAGAATGACTATTAATTGCTAGCATTTATGCTAGAATAATTGTTCATTTCTAGCTAGGTGTATAATGCACTGCCATTATTCTAGAAACCGCAAATGTAGCATCTGGCATAGGCACTAAACTACTATTTTGCAAGTTGGGCACGACACTGTTGTATCAATGGAGGTATGTGTTGACGGATACAACTTGCATCGTCACATAACCGTCATTGGTACAGGCACGCGGGCCAGGCCGAAGTGATTGATAGGTAGCAGGCCCCACTGAGGCAATAGGTGGGTGGCCAGTGCTGCCGAGGTGGTTGGTTTGTAGGTGGCCGACTAGGCTGAGGTGGTTGGTTTGTAGGTGGCTGACTAGGCTGAGGTGGTTGGTTTGTAGGTGGCTGGCCAGCCTTAGGTGGTTGGTTTGTAGGTGGCTGGCCAGGCTGAGGTGATTGGTTTGTAGGTGGCTGGCCAGGCTGAGGTGGTTGGTTTGTAGGTGGCTGGCCAGGCTGAGGTGGTTGGTTTGTAGGTGGCTGGCCAGGCTGAGGTGTTTGGTTTGTAGGTGGCTGGCCAGGCTGAGGTGGTTGGTTTGTAGGTGGCTGGCAAGGCTGAGGTGGTTGGTTTGTAGGTGGTTGGCCAGGCTGAGGTGGTTGGTTTGTAGGTGGCTGGCCAGCCTTAGGTGGTTGGTTTGTAGGTGGCTGGCCAGGCTGAGGTGATTGGTTTGTAGGTGGTTGGTTTGTAGGTGGCTGGCCAGCCTTAGGTGGTTGGTTTGTAGGTGGCTGGCCAGGCTGTGATTGGTTTGTAGGTGGCTGGCCAGGCTGAGGTGGTTGGTTTGTAGGTGGCTGGCCAGGCTGAGGTGGTTGGTTTGTAGGTGGCTGGCCAGGCTGAGGTGTTTGGTTTGTAGGTGGCTGGCCAGGCTGAGGTGGTTGGTTTGTAGGTGGCTGGCAAGGCTGAGGTGGTTGGTTTGTAGGTGGTTGGCCAGGCTGAGGTGGTTGGTTTGTAGGTGGCTGGGCTGGCCAGGCTGAGGTGGTTGGTTTGTAGGTGGCTGGCCAGGCTGAGGTGGTTGGTTTGTAGGTGGCTGGCCAGGCTGAGGTGGTTGGTTAGTAGGTGGCTGGCCAGGCCTGAGGTGGTTGGTTTGTAGGTGGCTGGCCAGGCTGAGGTGGTTGGTTTGTAGATGGCTGGCCAGGCTGAGGTGGTTGGTTTGTAGGTGGCTGGCCAGGCTGAGGTGGTTGGTTTGTAGGTGGCTGGCCAGGCTGAGGTGGTTGGTTTGTAGGTGGCTGGTCAGGCTGAGGTGGTTGGTTTGTAGGTGACTGACCAGGCTGAGGTGGTTGGTTTGTAGGTGGCTGGCCCGGCCAAGGTAGTGGGTGGGCGGCCAGCCCAGCCAAGGTAATGGTGAGTGGGTGGCCAGTCCAACTAAGGTAGTGGGAGGGTGAGTGGCCGGTCCAGCCAGGGTAGTGGGTGGATGTTTGGCCGGTCCAGCCAGGGTAGTGGGTGGATGTTTGGCCGGTCTGGCCAAGGTAGTTTGGCCGGTTCGGCTAAGGTAGTGGGTGGCCAGTCCAGCCGAGGTAGTGGGTGGCCGGCCCAGCCAAAGTAGAGGGTGGGTGGCCAGTCCAGCCAAGGTAGTGGGTGGGTGGCCGGCCTGGCCAAGGTAGAGGGTGGGTGGCCGGTCCGGCCAAGGTAGAGGGTGGGTGGCCAGTCCGGCCAAGGTAGAGGGTGGGTGGCCGGTCCAGCCAAGGTAGAGGGTGGGTGGCCGGTCCGGCCAAGGTAGAGGGTGGGTGGCCGGTCCGGCCAAGGTAAAGGGTGGGTGGCCGGTCCGGCCAAGGTAAAGGGTGGGTGGCCGGCCCGGCCAAGGAGGAAGACACCAGCAGTGCGGCTAAAACCATAGCAGAAGCTATCCCTACAAGTGAAACCGGTGCACTGCCTTACCCCCGTTGCGCTGCTGCTGTTGCACACCGTAACGAATACAGTGTGCACATTCAGCAGCCATGGAGGAGAGGCAAAGCACTGGTTGTATAGAGGCAGTGGCAGCGGCAGTGGCGGCGGCGATAGATGGTAAGAAAGAGAGAGAGACATGACCGCTGGTACCACCTTCCTCCCAGTAGCTGACGACCGTTTCCGAGTCTGGTTCACCTCCAGCAGGTTCAGGCTCAAGTACAGGCTCAAGCACAGGCTCAGGTTCAGGTTCTGGTTCTGGTTCTGGTTCCGGTTCTGGCTCCAACTGAGGCTCAGGGGGAGCCTCCGTCTTTTCTTCCTTCTCTCCCTTTTTGGCCTTCTTCTTCTTCTTTTTGTCTTTATTAGAGGAAAGTACAAGTGAGTGTTGGGTCCCTGGTCACTAGAGTTGCTACCTTCTTCACCTACCTAAAGTTCACCTCCTAGTTATTTAGTTAAGTCAAACAAAACATAGCAATGTTCAATGAAGATTAAATAAATCCATTCATATTAGAAACAAAGTATTAAATAACGACACCGTCCGTGACTCGTAAGGCAGAGACTTTTTGTTACACAAATGAATTTACAAGTTATCATCTGCACTGTTATGACTAAAGATGTATATCTCTTAATGTATACAGTAAGAGTTGATTGTTTTAGGGATTAAAGTATTGACCTTGATGGTGATAAGTAAGACGTGCAACAGTCAGGTATCTTTATTCCGAAACGTTTCGCCTACATAGTAGGCGTCTTCAGTCACGTACAGAAGACATAGCAGGAGTAGAGATGTGAAGACGATGTAATCAGTCCATCACCCTTATAGTCTTAATAAGTAAGTTTATTCAGGTATACACAAATACAGTTACATAGAATTATCATACATAGCAGCATATGTGTAGAGAACCTAGGATAACCCAAAAAAGTCAGAGTGACCCTCGTGTAGTCGGTAGACTTGAAACTAAATCAATTTGAACTTTTAATAACTTGGTGTAATAGGCATTCAGACATTTGAAAATTTATCTCAAGAATATTAGATTTATAGTGTGATCTTCGGTCCTCTTGCAGGGCATGACCCCTCAGGGAAGGTTCCTTGATGTTGGTGAGGGGCTCTTGATTTAGGGAATTGGATCTGTGCTCCAGTTCCCCGAATTAAGCCTGAATGCCTTCCACATCCCCCCCAGGCGCTGTATAATCCTACGGGTTTAGCGCTTCCCCTTGATTATAATAATAATAATTGCAGGGCACGAAGCATATTATATGCTGCTGCCGGATATAAGATGAAAACTATTAATTTAAGTGATATTAAGCATTCTGGTGTTGGGATTTTCCCGTATAAATATTGGTAGTCTACGATGAGAATTTCTTTTGCCAGATATTTGAGAAGGAAAAAAACTAATATTAACCTGTACATCTCTGCCTGCAACACTTCAGTGCGATACACACAATACTTAACCAGTTAAATATCAGATTCGCAAATTTGAATTCTTTAAGATTTTTAGATTTTTTTTTTTTACTTCTTCGTACTGTGGATTTAGAAAAGAATTTCTAGTGCTTGCCTTTCAGTTAATGAAATGTAACTGACAATTTCCTTGATGTTTTGTCGTTGAAATCACAACTTAAGAATTGTTTACATGTCAGAATGCAAAATTAAAAGACATTTTGATCGAGCAGTGAAGTAGCTAGTCTTTGTGAATTAATTATGACGATCCAGCAATGACTGTAAAGGTAGGTTGCAGTTTCTTTGCTTTGAAATTAATTAATTATTTTTCCAGTCCAGTCCAAGTCATACAGTGACCCAATCCAGCCAGGTCTAACTCACACTCACTCATGTGTTTGTCTAACGTATTCTTAAAACTATACAACGTTTTAGTTTGAATGACGGTACTCGGGAGTTTGTTCCACTCATCCACAACTCCACTGGTAAACCAGTGCTTTCCGATATCGTTTTTAAATCTAAAATTTTCCAGCTTAAACTCATTGCTGCGAGTTCTGTCTTAGATATTTTTAGCACGTTATTTACACCCTCTGTATTTATTCCTGTTTTCCATTTATACACCTCAACCATATCCTCCCCAGTTCTACGCCTTTCTAGAGAATACAACTCTAGTGCCCTCAGTCTATCCTCGTAGGAAAGATTTCTGATACATGGGATCAACTTTATCATCCTTCTTTGTACGTTTTCCAATGCATTTATATCCATTCTGTAATATGGTGACCAGAACTGTGCATAATCTAAATGAGGCCTAATCAACGATATACAGAGTTGAAGAATAACCTGAGGACTCTAGTTATTTATACTTCTTGATATGAGGCCAAGAATTCTATTCGCTCTATTGCGAACACTTACGCACTACTATCTTGGTTTTAGATTACCGCTAACCAGAACTCCCAAATATTTTTTCGCAATCACTGATATTAAGATCTACATTGTTTAGTTTATAAGTATCATGGTTATTTTCCTTTCCAATGCAAAGAACTTTGCATTTGTTTATATTAAACTGCATCTGCCACTTCTCCGACTATTGTATTAGACTATTCAGATCTGCAGCACTCTTGTGTCCTCGTCAGAATTAATTTGATGGCCTATTGTGGTGTCATCGGCAAACTTGCTTATATCGCTGTTTATTCCCTTGTCTCTGGAAGATTAACGCACTGTTGTTCAGCATCAGCTCATTTCAAAGTCCAGCCTGATCTAAGGTATACCACCACCAATAGTCAATAGTAGTCAACTCATACTTGGTAACTGTTTACTGAACAGTGAACTGAGGCAACAGGTGTCAGCAAACTTGCCATCATCTCGCCATCTAAGATATTGTAACCCAGGTCCTTTCGATTAAGCACTGAGCAAGTTACCATTGAGGCTTTTTGACCCATGTGGGGTTGGTGCATTTTTTAACATAGTAATGATACCAGGGTGTTCAAAAACTGAGACACAACACGTGGAGAGGTATGTTGATTAGTAAATTAAAAAAAAATGTTGAATGCGTTGGGCATTAAAATTTACACAAAGTGTACACGACAAATTGTGTTACTGATCACTTGTTTTTTATCATTTCCTGATATACCCTCTACTCTACGCTCAATGTTGATCTCTGGCTCTTCCAGTGTATCAGGCTGATTTGGTTACATAGTATTTTTTTTATAAAGAAATCCTGTAACTTGAACACCATTTTTGAACTTAATGAACAGTGAACAAAGAAAAAATATATATTAATATATTATATATATATATATTATATATATATATATATATATATATATATATATATATATATATATATATATATATATATATATATATATATATATATTTCTCCATGGGTTGCATTTATTCTTTAACTCCTGTAGCACTGAAACTTGACTATTGTGCAATTGCGCTCATACCCACATACGCTACCACAACTCTTGTGACTCACTACCTTCCCCCCCCCACCCCACTCTTCCTAGTTTTAGCTGTAGTCAGCAGTGGCACCCAGGTCGAGGGCCAGTGCCAGAATGTGTCGTCGGAAATAAGACAGTTTGTTGGCAGGGTCTCTTGGTGTAAGTCTTAGCTACCAGCACCTGGGAGTACCAGCATCTGGTGCTACCAACATCTAGGGCACCGGCACCTGAAAATGCCAGCATATAGGGTACCAGCACATGAAAATCCCAGCATACTGGGTACCTGCACCTAGGGGTGCTGGTTCCCTTAATGGAATTTGATTGTCTTCCATTTCCCTGTGTGTGTATGAGCGCACCTTGTCAGTGCTCCACTCCGATTCAATAATAATGTCAGCACTTAAAACGGAAACTCATTCACTGAGTTGTTCAGCCTACCTAAGACCATGTAGCTGGCCACATTGATCCGAGACCATGGAGCTTGGCACAGTAACCCAAGACCATGTAGTTAGCCACAGTAACCCAAGACCATGTAGCTGGCTACAATAACCCAAGACAATGTAGCTGGCCACAGTAATCCAAGACCATGGAGCTGGCCATACTAACCCAAAACCATGTAGCCGGCCCAAGCTCATATTAGAGAGAAACATCTGTGTAACAATGGACGGTTGGTAGTCTTATTTTTTTCATATATTTTAGAGTCTTAGATTTCAATATTAAGATTTGCTAGGTGAATGAGCATGTATGCAGCCTAAGGCATTTTTTGCTATGTCACGACATCGGTGAGTTGGCCTACCAAAAATGATATGTGGGTGTTTGTGGGTTGGTTGGTAGATTCCTCAGCTTGCACACAAAGAGTCCGGTATCGATCACCTGCACGAGTGAAGCGGGCACGTTTCCCTACACCTACTGCCTTTGTTCACCTAGCAGTAAGGAGGTACCTGGGTGTTAGCTGACTGTTGTGGGTCTCATCCTGAGGGACAAAATTAAAGGACACCAAGGAAAATAATGAAACTAACCTTCCAGGTTAAAAAATCAAATAGTCTTATGTTAACCTCTTAATGGATGCTCATTCAGCTGCATAGCCCTTGTGGCTTAGCGCTTCTTTTTTATTATAATAATATAATAATAATGGATGCTCAGTGTAATGGAAGTTTCTTAAATTACGAGCAGCTGTACCTTGTATAATGTACCTTGAAGTGAAGGCAGAGCTTGAGGAAGAAGATGCAACTTCTTAGAGAGAAGATTCATCACAAAAAAAAAAAAAAAGGATACCAGCAACAATGAATGGAAATTGGTCTGTAAGAGGAGATTGAAACTTAAGATGAAGAAGGTTGAAGAAACTGATAAGAGATTCCTTCCCTGTGCTGCCTGACATGTGGTTCAGTCATCAAGGACGGCAACATTAAATTTACGGACCAATATTGCACCTATGTGCTGTTCACTAAACTTGGCATTATATCTTTGATCTAATGATCCATGCCTGTGTAGAGCACATCAAGGAAGGGGGTTATAACTGTTTGTTACTGGAAGTAAAGAGGTAGACCTCCCAGATTTTCACTTTGCATAATACAAATGAAATTAAGGAACATCTAACAGTATCGAAGGGAACTGCCAATAAAACTTTGTCTAAATGTAGAAGTGGCCCAAAGAACATATATATCACCCATAACGAAAAGTTAGACCATATAAAAATGATTATTCTTTGCATAATAAATGACTCAATTGAACATGAATTTATATCAAACTATATTTGCAGTATATTATAACTAGCAAACCCCTCAAGGAAGGTTCCTTGATGTTGGTGAGGGGCTCTTGATTTAGGGAATTGGATCTGTGCTCCAGTTCCCCGAATTAAGCCTGAATGCCTTCCACATCCCCCCCCAGGCGCTGTATAATCCTCCGGGTTTAGCGCTTCCCCCTTGATTATAATAATAATAATAATAATAACTAGCAAAACTTAAAAAATGAAATTAAAATCTTATTACCGTAATTTGCACCAGAAATATTTTAATTTGTTTTATTTATAAAATATCAAGAGGAAAGGGTCACAGCTTTGATGCCTGTGAGGGGCTCTTGATCCAAAGAAGCTAGTCGGTCCTTCCCTAAGATCGAACTTTTATTTTTCTTTAGTGGGCCTACATGACGGTATATCTGGACAATTTACTGATAATGAGCAGGAAATGTTTTTTTCTTTTCGAAGTTATTTCCTGTTGGTCTTCACACAAGACAAAGAATATTCCGGAATTTAATAATAGTGAGGACCTGAAGAAATAAATGTAATACTAGTCACTAGCGATATGGTTATCAGGCAGATAGATTGATTAAAGCAAAATAAACCCTCGTGCCCCGACGATCAATCTCACAAGTCAATCTGCCTTCGAGTCACTTATACAGATAATTGTTAAGTTTTGTCAGAGAAATATACGAACATCAAATTCCATGGACAAAATTATATAAATTAAATAGTAAAAAAAAAGCAAGTAGGACAAATGCGGTTAAAGGTTTTTAAAATAGATTAGAAATTATAATGCAAAAAGTGGGGACAATATTCCCCCCAAAATCAGTAGTAATACGTGGTAAAAATGGTGGAAATGTGTGGAACATACTGGTGGAAATATGTGGGACATACTGGTGGAAATATGTGAGATATACTGGTGGAAATATGTGGGACATACTGGTGGAAATATGTGGGACATACTGGTGGAAATATGTGGGACATACTGTCGGAAATGTGGGACATGCGGTGGAAATATGTGGAACATACTGGTGGAAATAAGTGAGGGATAGTGGTGAAAATAAGTGGGAGATACTGGTGAAAATAAGTGGGTATACTGGTGAAAATAAGTGGGATAATGGTTGAGAATGAGGGAGAGAATGGTGGAACCACAGCGATGATATCGTTACAGTGATGATGGCACTATATATATTGATAGCACCACACTGAAAATGGTACCACAGTGATGTCCCCATAAAGAATGATGGTACCATAGTGAAGTTAGCACCAGGGTGATGATGGCACGGCCAATAATAACACCAGGGTGATGATGGCACTAGGCCAATAATAACACCAGGGTGATGATGGCACTAGGTCAATAATGACATCAGGATGATGACGGCACTAGGTCAATAACACCAGGATGATGATGGCACTAGGTCAATAACACCAGGGTGATGATGGCACTTGATTAGTGATAACACCTCTTGGGTGATGATGGCACTTGATCAGTAATGACACCTCCAGGGTGATGATGGCACTTGCTGGTAATAATACCATGGTGATGATGGCACTTGACTGGCAATAACACCATGGTGATGATGGCACTTGACTGGTAATAACACCATGGTGATGATGGCACTTGATCAGTAATAACACCTCCAGGGTGACGATGGCACTTGACAGAGACCATGATGACGGCACTTGACAGAGACCGGGATGATGGCACTTGACAAAGAGACCGGGATGATGGCACTTGACAAAGAGACCAGGGTGATGGCACTTGATAATGACATCACGGTAATATTGGCACATTGTAGTTAATGACATCAGAATGATGATGACACCAGGTCGGTAATGGTACCAGGCTAATAGTGATACTATATGAAGAAAAACGACTGACTGAGGGTAATTAGTGGTTATTACTCATTATTGAAGACATAGGCCGGTTGCAACAAAACGTAGAATCCAAGGTAAATTATCTTCAAACCAAAGAAAAATGAACCACCAAGATGAAGGAATAAATGCTGCGAGTGAAGCGTAGGTTCAGGAGCCTACCTTCGTCACCGGCCATCGTGTGCTACAGAGGAGGACAAGGAGAGTTACCACACCCACCAGCTACACGGCCCCAACTAACTCTCGCTTCAGCAAAGTGGCGCCGGCTATACTTGCATCCTGGCTCGCCAGCTCTTGCCTCACCTCTTCCCCTCCCCCATCCCCGCTCTTCCTCCCTTGTCTCACCACTACCCATTTTCCCCCAAAAATTCGACTCCTCCCCTCCCCTCAATCTTCAGCTTCGAGTCCTCAATTCACTTTCAGTTTTCTTTATTCCTGCATTCCATTTTTCTTCCGTATGACTTTCGTGCTGGATTATACCTTAATGTTTTATTTTTTTCTGAATTTCTACATTATTAATGCAGTATAATGTTGAAAAAATATGCACCAATACTTCGCAAATACGTTTAGTAGGTTAGCATTAGAAGTGGTGCCGGTTGCCTGAGAGAGGGCGCATGTGCAAGTTATTTCTGCCCCCCAGCTAGCTGCCAACACGCCTCTACCAGTCTTACCTCTCGACAATTAAGGACAACAAATGCAAGGACGAAAATATGTTTCATTAGTTCTTTTAATCAGGAACACACAGTGTTTGGGATGGTGATCTCTTGGTAATAATGAAGGGTGGATGGATGATGGATCATAGGTGTTCTATGCAATTTCAGCACCTGAATATTCTTCTAACTCTTGCACTGGGTCTCCACGTACCAAGCTCCGATTACAGCATTTCCTTCCATTCTCCACACCTAACTTCTTGTCCTTTTACCTCCTTCACCACTCAAAACATCACAGTAAAATCCTGAGTTTTTTTTTTTTTTGTGTTAAAATAAATGGGCAGGACAAAGCAACACTCAATGAATTTTACAGGATAAGAAAAATGTAGAGATAATTGAAATGGTTAATGGACAAGCACTTAAGGGCAATCCTGTAAACCTCTGGCATCGGTGGAAATTTCTTGGATATTGCCATAAACAGAAAATTATTCAAAATACTGAGTGAGTTTTTCCAACAAGTGGCTAGTGTCAAACTATTTCATTTCGAACTTGACTTCTTATTAAGTAAATTGTTTTATCACTTATGATACTGAAATAGATGGAGCTTTTACATGTTTAAAGAAAAAAATAAACATGTTAAGCCCAGACATAACCGAGAGACTATTTTTTTTAGCAAGGTTCTTATGTAAGGAATGGGAAAGCACATGTTATATACACCAGATGTACATCTGTCTCAGTGGTATGTTTAAGGCCGAGCTTGCGACTTTTTGCCAAACAAGTCGAGTGTAAATTTATTGTTGCAATACCTCAGTAAAAAATCAGTCTCACATAACCAAGTTAATTGTTAAATGATATTAAAACCAAATCTTTATCTTTAAATATAACCAAACTGAAGCTGACTTTAAGATAGGTTTGCTAGGACCAAACTTAATTATGCTGCGTTAATTTTAGCAAAGTTAGATGAAATTGCTATGATAGGTTGTGTGTACAAAATAAAAATTTGTTTATCAAGCTAAAACACACACACACACACACACACACACACACACACACACACACACACACACACACACACACACACACACACACACACACACACACACACACACACACAAGTGGAATAGACAAGGTGGAGAGAAACAGGATGTTCCAGAGAGGGGACATAGAAACCAAGGGTCACAATTGGAAGTTGAAGACCCAGATGAGTCAAAGGGATGCTAGGAAATATTTCTTCAGTCACAGAGTTGTCAGGAAGTGGAATAGCCTAGCAAGTGATGTAGTGGAGGTAGGAACTATACATAGCTTTAAGATAAGGCATGATCAACCTCATGGAGCAGGGAGAGAGGGGACCTAGTAGCGACCTGGAGTTTACCTGGAGAGAGTTCCGGGAGTCAACGCCCCCGCGGCCCGGTCTGTGACCAGGCCTCATGGTGGATCAGGGCCTTATCAACCAGGCTGTTACTGCTGGCTGCATGCAATCCAACGTAAGAACCACATCCCGGCTGGTCAGGTACCGACTTTAGGTGCCTGTCCAGTGCCTGCTTGAAGACAACCAGGGGTCTATTGGTAATTCCCCTTATGTATGCTGGGGGGGGCAGTTGAACAGTCTTGGGCCCCTGGCATTTATTGTATTGTCTCTTAACGTGCTAGTGGCACCCCTGCTTTTCATTGGGGGGGGGGTGTTGCATCGTCTGCCGAGTCTTTTGCTTTCGTAAGGAGTGATTTTCGTGTGCAAGTTTGGTACTAGTCCCTCTAGGATTTTCCAGGTGTATATAATCATGTATCTCTCCCGCCTGCTTTCCAGGGAGTACAGGCTTAGGTACTTCAAACGTTCCCAATAATTGAGGTGTTTTATCTCCGTTATGCGCGCCGTGAAAGTTCTCTGTACATTTTCTAGGTCAGCAATTTCACCTGCCTTGAAAGGTGCTGTTAGTGTGCAGCAATATTCCAGCCTAGATAGAACAAGCGACCTGAAGAGTGTCATCATGGGCTTGGCCTCCCTAGTTTTGAAGGTTCTCATTATCCATCCTGTCATTTTTCTAGCAGATGCGATTGATACTATGTTACCTGGAGTTTACCTGGAGAGAGTCCCGGGGGTCAACGCCCCCGCGGCCCGGTCTGTGACCAGGCCTCCTGGTGGATCAGAGCCTGATCAACCAGGCTGTTACTGCTGGCTGGAATTTGTTTTATACTCTGATGAAGTTTTAATTTCCTCACATTTACCATATCGGAGTAATTGAAATTTCTCATCGTTGAACTACATATTGTTTTCTGCAGCCCATTGAAAGATTTGGTTGATGTCTGCCTGAAGCCTTGCAGTGTCTTCAGTGGAAGATACTGTCATGCAGATTCGGGTGTCATCTGCAAAGGAAGACACGGTGCTGTGGCTTATATCCCTGTCTATGTCTGATATGAGGATGAGGAACAAGATGGGAGCGAGTACTGTGCCTTGCGGAACAGAGCTTTTCACCGTAGCCGTCTCAGATTTTACTCTGTTGACTACTACTCTTTGTGTTTTATTTGTCATAAAATTATAGATCCATCTACCAACTTTTCCTGTTATTCCTCTGGCACGCATTTTGTGCGCTATTACACCATGGTCACACTTGTCGAAGGCTTTTGCAAAGTCTGTGTATATTACATCTCCATTCTTTTTGTCTTCTAGTTAGACCAGTGAAGAGGCGGGACCAGGAGCTGAGTATCGATCCCTGCAACCACAATTAGGCGAGTACACACACACACACCGGTGAAGAGGCGGGGCCAGGAGCTAAGAATCGACCCCTGCAACCACAAATAGGTGAGTACACACACACACACACACACACACACACACACACACACACACACACACACACACACACACACACACACACACACACACACATACACACACACACACACACACACATACACACACACACACACCACACACACACACACACACACACACACACACACACACACTAGTAGCGATCAGTGAAGAGGCGAGGCCAGGAGCCATGAATAGACCCCTGCAAGCACAAATAGGCGAGTACTTAACCTGGAGTTTACCTGGAGAGAGTTTCGGGGGTCAACGCCCCCGCGGCCCGGTCTGTGACCAGGCCTCCTGGTGGATCAGCGCCTGATCAACCAGGCTGTTGCTGCTGGCTGCACGCAAACCAACGTACGAGCCACAGCCCGGCTGATCAGGAACTGACTTTAGGTGCTTGTCCAGTGCCAGCTTGAAGACTGCCAGGGGTCTGTTGGTAATCCCCCTTATGTGTGCTGGGAGGCAGTTGAACAGTCTCGGGCCCCTGACACTTATTGTATGGTCTCTTAACGTGCTAGTGACACCCCTGCTTTTCATTGGGGGATGGTGCATCGTCTGCCAAGTCTTTTGCTTTCGTAGCGAGTGATTTTCGTGTGCAAGTTCGGTACTAGTCCCTCTAGGATTTTCCAGGTGTATATAATCATGTATCTCTCCCTCCTGCGTTCCAGGGAATACAGGTTTAGAAACCTCAAGCGCTCCCAGTAATTGAGGTGTTTTATCTCCGTTATGCGCGCCGTGAAAGTTCTCTGTACATTTTCTAGGTCGGCAATTTCACCTGCCTTGAAAGGTGCTGTTAGAGTGCAGCAATATTCCAGCCTAGATAGAACAAGTGACCTGAAGAGTGTCATCATGGGCTTGGCCTCCCTAGTTTTGAAGGTTCTCATTATCCATCCTGTCATTTTTCTAGCAGATGCGATTGATACAATGTTATGGTCCTTGAAGGTGAGATCCTCCGACATAATCACTCCCAGGTCTTTGACGTTGGTGTTTCGCTCTATTTTGTGGCCAGAATTTGTTTTGTACTCTGATGAAGATTTAATTTCCTCATGTTTACCATATCTGAGTAATTGAAATTTCTCATCGTTGAACTTCATATTGTTTTCTGCAGCCCACTGAAAGATTTGGTTGATGTCCGCCTGGAGCCTTGCAGTGTCTGCAATGGAAGACACTGTCATGCAGATTCGGGTGTCATCCGCAAAGGAAGACACGGTGCTGTGGCTGACATCCTTGTCTATGTCGGATATGAGGATGAGGAACAAAATGGGAGCTAGTACTGTGCCTTGTGGAACAGAGCTTTTCACCGTAGCTGCCTCGGACTTTACTCTGTTGACGACTACTCTCTGTGTTCTGTTAGTGAGGAAATTATAGATCCATCGACCGACTTTTCCTGTTATTCCTTTAGCGCGCATTTTGTGCGCTATTACGCCATGGTCACACTTGTCGAAGGCTTTTGCAAAGTCTGTATATATTACATCTGCATTCTTTTTGTCTTCTAGTGCATTTAGGACCTTGTCGTAGTGATCCAGTAGTTGAGACAGACAGGAGCGACCTGTTCTAAACCCATGTTGCCCTGGGTTGTGTAACTGATGGGTTTCTAGATGGGTGGTGATCTTGCTTCTTAGGACCCTTTCAAAGATTTTTATGATATGGGATGTTAGTGCTATTGGTCTGTAGTTCTTTGCTGTTGCTTTACTGCCCCCTTTGTGGAGTGGGGCTATGTCTGTTGTTTTTAGTAACTGAGGGACGACCCCCGTGTCCATGCTCCCTCTCCATAGGATGGAAAAGGCTCGTGATAGGGGCTTCTTGCAGTTCTTGATGAACACAGAGTTCCATGA